AGCAAATGCTTGCTGGAGTGGTGTGTCCACAATCATGCTTCTAAAATTGTGCTTCCGCTGTGCCGCCACCCCCCCTACCATGGGATCCTGTTTATGAGGCAGAAATATGAATCTCAACATATTTCATGTAACACGCTCTGTATTAAACCCAGAGCCACAAAATGCATGGGAAAGGTGTAGCTTCAACACTGCAAGTTGGCTGCCGCGGCTAGCAGTCCTAGAAGGTGAGGTCAACAGCAGAACATAGTCCCCTTTAACTAGATAGAGTATGGGGTACAAGGGGATCTTATTATAATTTACCCAAAGCCATATTCTATCTACTTAAGGGGGACTGTATACGTATGACTGTAACTGCCGTGAGTCTCACGTTGAAAACATGTACTAGTGCTGCTACCCTTATGGCGAAAAGCAGTAAAGCAACACCAGCATAATTGTGGTCACAGTCATCGCACAATAGTGCTCATGGTACCATGGCACCTCTGCACCGGACGCGAACAGCAACCTTGGGACGAACACTTAGTCTGAGCTGCTGTTGAGGACCGCACATTCAGTTACCAGAACAAGGAAACTAAATCATTTCATTTTGACCAGTAGCGTGGTAGCTTAGTTTAAATTCCTTAACAGCAGCCCACTAGTTGTCTCTCAGACGCCAAGGTGCTGACCTTTCCTCACCGCGCACCAGCTGTTGCCATGGAGCTCCTGCAACAACTGAGGCTTCGCCAGCATGACAAGCAAGAGTGCATGGCATTAGCTTTCCTGAGGGCTGGAGGTGTTGTTCGCTTGTAGCAGTGCGTTCACATGCCGAGCAAGGTCAAGTTTGAGAAAAGCCCCAGGTCTCTGCCTTTCCCTCTTGCTGAGACCATGTCGGGACGTACAGAACTCTTGATGTGAGAGCTGTGCATGATTTTAAGATGGTGGCCTCGTCACATCTGCACCCTTCCCCTGAAATGGGGATATGGAGCATCAGGGTTTTACAGGTTGTCTGTTGCTTCGTGAGTTTTGCTGCAGCGCCATGCCGCTTCAGAATGTTGAATGCTACGTCTCTGTATCACTTATGCAGGTCTGCCACTGGAGAGCAAACAAAGTGTGATCCTTAAGAGAAGCAGTGGCCTCGTGAAGGCTGCGCGCATGTGCGCATGCCAAGCTGGTCATCTTGCTGCAACCAGTACCAGGACATGCCAGTGAGCCTTGCAAGACTTGGTTGATTTTGAGGGAAATGATTTTCAGTCTCCATAGTGCGGATATAAAGGAAACAGTTGACTTATAGCTGTTACTAGATTTGAGTTCCAAAGTAACCACCCAGTAGATTTACAAACATCAGGGCTAATGCTGTGATCCTGGCATTGGCGGTGGCAGCGCAACAGCGCTTTACAATGATTGCCTCAACCGCTTAGTTTGTGCAAGCTTTGAGTGTTGTACTGTTGCTTCGTGACACGTCCTGCAGTCCCAGAGGCAATTGCTGTAGCTGTGTTTTCTGACGTGCGCCTTTCAAGCACGTTGTGCATGCATGCGAAAGCTGGCCATCCCGCCCGAGCGTTTCGAATTTCACTTCGTATCGTATGGGCTGACACATGGTCGCCACGCAGCTGCAAGATAGTCTTCCCTGCATCCGGGCTTTCGCCCTGAAAGAAAGCTTGGTAATTAGTGCTTGACAGCTCCAAATCATAGCGTTTCTGTACAGCTGTTTTGCTTCGGTTTTGGAATATGGTATTGGTCTGACATGAAGAGTCCTGCATTCCCGGAAGCAAGGGGAAGAGTTGTTTGTTTTGGCGACAGGTGAGCTGAGCTTGCCTGCCGCGTCGTTTTAATGAAGCTCTTTCTGGGTTAGCCTTCTGCAGGCATTGTCACTGCGGATCGTACGGGCTGACACGCGCTGACACATTGCCACCATGTGGCTCCAACAAAATTGTTGCTGCATCTTAGCTTTCCCTATTTCGAATGCAATCTTCGGACTGCTCCATGCCACATCTCAGTAATATGAAGGGACTTCTGCTTCATTGTGAGAGCAGTTGAGTGGTGCGCCTGCTGCATAAAGCGGCAGGTCTTCAAGACAACGTGCAAGCGTTCTGCTCGTGTACGCAACGCCCATTGCGAGCAAGCTATCCCTGCAACCTTTGCAAAAGATAGTCTTCCCTGCATCCGGGCTTTCGCCTTGAGAAAATGATAGCTTGAGGCTTCTGCGAAGGAAGCATACAACCCGCAGTAAACCTACTAGACAGCTCCAAATCATAGCGTTAATTTCTGGACAAGAATCTTGTATTGGTCTGACATGAAGAGTCCTGCATTCCCGGAAGCAATGGGAAGAGTTGTTTTTGGGCGACAGGTGAGCCGCTTACCTGCCGCGTCATTTAGAGGAAGCACTTGGCGGGTCAGCCTTCTGCAAGCAGTGGCAAGACCATGCCCACCATGCCTGGGACATCATAGAAATACCTCAAGAACTTGGTATTGATTGGGGCACCTAAGCATATGCCCTTGTGTTGGCATGCCTGGGCACAATCCAGCATCTTCACTGCGGATCGTGTGGGCTGACACACGCTGACACATCGCCACCGGCGTGGTTCCAACAAGCCCGTTGCTGTCTCCTAGCCTTCTCTATTTCGAATGCAATCTTCAGACTGCTCCATGCCGCATCTCAGTAACTGCTTCGTTGTGAGAGCACTTGAGTGGCGCCTCCTGCATAAAGCAGCAGGTCTTTGAGACAATGTGCGAGTAGGCTACGCCCATTGCGAGCAAGCCATCCCTGCGACAATTTCAACAGATAGTCTTCCCCGCATCCAGGCTTGCACCCCGAAAGAAAGCTTGAGAACTATTAGCTTCACAGCTCCAAAACATAGCGTTTCTGTACAGTTGTTTTGCTTCGGTTTGGAATATTATACTGGTCTGACATGAAGCATCCTCCATTCCCGGAAGCAATGGGAAGAGTTTTTTTGGGGCGACAGGTGAGCCGCTTACCTGCCGCGTCATTTAAAGGAAGCACTTGGCGGGTCAGCCTTCTGCAGGCAGTGGTAGGATCATGCCCACCATGCTTGGACCATAGAAATACCTCAAGGACTTGGCATTGATGGAAGGACCTAAGCACGTGCCCTTGCGTTGGCATATTCTGGGCACGATCCAGCATCTTCACTGCGGATCGTTTGGGCTGACACATTGACACCAATGTGGCGCCAACCAGTTTGTTGCTGCCTCCTAGCTCTCTCTATTTCCAATGCAATCTTCAGAATGTTCCATGCCACATCAGTAGTATGAAGGGACTTCTGCTTCATTGAGAGCACTTGAGTGGTGCGCCTGCTGCATAAACGGCAGGTCTTTGAGAAAACGCGAAGGCATTCTGGTCGTGCAGGCTACGTCCATTGTGAGCAAGCTATCCTTACAACCGTTGAAAAAATCAAGCCTTTCCCTACATCCGGGCTTGCGCCCTTCACAGCTCCAAATCATAACGTGTCTGTAGAGTTGTTTTGCTGCGGTTTTGGAGTATTGTATTGGTCTGACATGAAGCATTCTGCATTCCCGGAAGCAAGGGGAAGAGTTGTTTGTTTTGGCGACAGGTGAGCGGCTTACTTGCCGCGTCGTTTTAATGAAGCTCTTGGCTGGTCAGCCTCCTACAGACAGTGGCAAGACCATGTTCACCATGCCTGGGCCTTGGGCGCATCATAGAAATGCCTCAAGAACTTGGCATTTATGGAAGGACCTAAGCACATGCCCTTGCGTCGGCATTTCCTGGGCACGATCCAGCATCTTCACTGCGGATCGTATGGGCTGACACACGCTGACACATTGCCACCAGCGTGACTCCAACAAGCGCGTTGCTGTCTGCCAGCTTGCTCTAGTTCGAACGCAATCTTCAGAAAGCTCCATGCCACATCTCTGTATTATGTTACCTGTGCAAGTCTGCCACTATGAGAGGGTATCATAGGGTACCGAAGATCGGCCTCAACAGGATGTGGCTCGTGAGTTAGGCCGCTACAGTACCCTTCCTCCGGTTACTAGGGGCCGGCGTCTGCTTTCCTTGTCATCCCCTCCTCCTACTATTACAACCCCCCCAACCCCCCGGTAATATTAAATGTGGCCAATATAGTGTACTACACCACATGATGGCAGTGTTTAATATTTTTGTTTGGGGGGGAGTGGGGGGTATAATGTTTTAAAGGGGGTATTTCTGGGTGCGTTCTCAGCTTGAATCAGAAGAGAGGGTTGAGGATAAGGTTGGTAGCCACAGTGGGTTGCATCCGAAATTAACATTGTTTAATATAGGGGTCACATAGGGGTAATATAGGGGTTAGACAAGGGTAGTATAGGGGTTGTTCAGGGGGAATATAGGAGTAACATCGGTTTCTCATTTTTTCCTTATCAACGTCACGTAGTTGATCTGGGTAGCACGCGGCCTGGTCTCGTGGCAGTTGATAACCTCACGGTGTTGGCGGTCGATGACCTCAGAGCGTATCTAGCGCACTTGTGGAGACTCTGCATTGGCTATAGGCGTGCTGATCCTTCGATCCTGGAGCTAAGCCCCAAAAAGCTTAAGCGCTCAATTTGTAAGCTGGGACCTTCGCTTAACACTCCAACCCAACAGAAATCCCAACCACGCTTACCTGAAATTTTGTGGCAGTTCCGATGGTTATACCCGAAGCGGTCATTTTAGCTTGGGCCCTAGACCCTAAACCCTAAACCCCAGAGCTCTTTTGGCAGGGACTTTGGGTTTCTTCAGCTGAGGGTATGACTCTGGGCCTAAGCCCTACACAAGAAGCCACAAGGACCTAAGCCTGCCCTACGCCTTGTAACCACCTCCTTCTGATTGTGGGGGTGTGTATTACTAAGGAGTATGGAAACCCTATAGTCCCCCTTAAGTAGATAGAATATTGGGTATATGGAGATCTTATTATAGTAGACCCAAAGCCATATTCTATCTACTTAAGGGGGACTGTCAACCCTAGAGCTTACAGGCGTGCTCCTCCTTCCTCCTGGCCAAAAAGGGCATTGGGGCGGCGCTGGTGCCCCTGGCCATGCCTCAGGCACGTTTAGGGTTTGGAGCTTTTAGGGTTTAGGGTTAGGGTTTAGGGCTCCCCAGGCTAGATAGGGCTATCACTTGAGCCCCCCAAGAAAATACCATTATATTGGGGAGGAGTATCTGCAGGGTTCATTATTGCGGGAGGTGATTAGATGCGGTTATAGTTGGCTGAGGAGTCTTGACAACCAGTTGGATGAGGCGATTATGGAGATGCCGCAAGAGAGATCTTTACTGCGCACCACCTTCTTAAACCCAAGGCCCTAACGCCAACCCTAAACCCACCCCCCAACACCTGTACCTCAAGCAGACTAGCAAACAAAGATCAAAGTTTCAGTAGATTAGATATCTGCGCCTACATGCTGGCCATGGCATTCTCCAAAGTATCTGCAGAAGCTGAGATACGAATTGGTGGCCGCAACAACAAGTAGGCACGCAAGCAATCCGAAACTGGGAACACCCCGTCACAAAGGTTGACGAATCAACCAAGCCTCAAACTCAAACCCTAAACCCTAAACCCAAGCCCAATCATGCCAAACCAGGAACTTCGTAATGTTCCTACTGACTTCTCACATGAATTCTCTATATGGAAACCAAGCACCGCCAAGAAATTCCCGGGGACTGGGGATCCCTAAATTACCCTTCTAGGGTTTAGGGTTTAGGTTTTTTTTTTAAATATGCTTTTGTGGCTTCCGCCGGTAACAGGCATGAAAGGCCGAAAGCATGCTGGCAGGTGGCGTCGGGGGCAACCACCCAGGTGGACAACCTTTGGATAAAGCTGGTGGACACCATGAGGTGGGTGGGCTCAAGTGGAGGGAGGAAGGAAGGAAGGGATGGAGAGGACTGTAGGGGCTTGATAACTAGAAATATCAGAACCAAGACCCTCCTTGTACCCTTAATTAGGGGTATATGGTCCCTAATAGTGGGTATTTAGGGGTATATAGAGGGTAGATGGAGGGTCTAGGAAAATAGTCCTCGGTTCTTTGTCTATTTTATAGCATTTGGTAATCAAATCGACTTCGCAAGTTGATGGGGAATTATGTCGGCAGATGCAGTGTAGGGTTTATGCTCCAGGGTAGTTCATGGAACTTAGGAACCTGAACTGTGGAATGGGTTGTTGATTTCCTGCGGGGTGCGTCGAGGGTATGCCTTACCAGGGGCATCGCGGTTAGCACAGGCGTATGCCAAGGCATGATAGCCTACACAATAGCATACTCAAATCCAAAATCTCGCGCCCCTTATCGCAGACAGACAAACCCAGAACCGTAATACGCCAAGGTTTCGAATTCAGGATTCGGGCTTTGGGGTGTAGGGCGTTTTGGGGTTTTGGGTTTAGAGGTTTGGGCTGAGGTTAGGGTTCGGTTTAGGGTTTAGGCTTTGGGTCTTTGGGTTGCATACTTTGAGCCGATGATCCATAACCCCTAAACCCTAAGCTCTAACTCCTAAACCTTAAGCCATAAATCCTAAACCCTAAACCCCAAACCCTGAACACTAAATCAGGTTGGAGGTGGACCAGCAGGGGCGGATGTCAGATGCAGCTGCGTTGAAGATCCTGAACAGGCTGAACTCAGACACCCGGCCTTGGAACCCTAGACCCTAAATCTCACGGTTATTACTATTATTAGTATTATTATTATTAGTACTATTATTACTATTATTACTATTATTATTATTAGTATTATTATTATTATTACTATTATTACTATTATTACTATTATTATTATTATTAGTACTATTATTACTATTATTACAATTATTATTGTTATTATTAGTACTATTATTCTATTATTACTATTATTATTATTAGTACTATTATTACTATTATTATTATTATTAGTATTATTATTACTATTATTACAATTATTATTATTATTACTATTATTATTATTATTACTATTATTATTATTAGTACTATTATTACCATTATTACAATTATTATTATTATTACTATTATTATTATTATTAGTATTATTATTACTATTATTACTATTATTACTATTACTACGATTATTATTATTATTACTATTACTACTAGTACAATTGCTACTATTACTGTTGTTATTTTTTTGCTATTCTCACCTTCATTTTTTGTTACCCAAACCTACTATGGAATCCCCCTTCCTCCTTTACAAAAGGAGTGTCGTCTTTCTGGGACTCGTTTCGGGCTTCCATCTAGTCGTTTTGGGGAAAGTTTTCTACAAGGGATTCTACCAAGCAAGCCCGAGCTCTCAAACTCAAAAGCCATGTAAATTTTTGTTGTAAGATTCAACCTAGGGTTTAGGGTTTAGGCTCCCAACGAACCTCTGGAAAACTGCGAATTTCTGAAAGGACTTGGCAAAGGCCTGTGGATTCGCAGGAACAGCCAAAGCCTCAAATCCAATGCTCTCCTCAATACTATTCTTTTGCCACTTAGGGCTTAGGGTTCAGGATATAGGGTTTGGGGCTTCTTGCGATAATCGGTCTAGTGGTTAGTAGGGAATGAGGGTATATATATATATACACATTTTTTTCATCCCTGTATGATATGTTCCCTTTTTTCCCCACTATTACCCCAGTAAGATGAGTTCCACGACTATCATAAGAGCATCATCCTTGAATCCTAGACTCTCCAGCCCCTCAGCATGCGTCCTAAATCTGGCACTTCAGAACCCCCAACTAGATTCTGCTTGAGGGTGCGTATGGGGGGTTTCGAAGGTTAGGGGTACCTTTGTGGGGGTCCCATACTAAGGCGAATAAGGAGTATAGCATGGAGGGATCTATGTTAGAGACCCCTCATTTGTGGAACTTATGCGATAGATGAGCTGCAAGGTAACGCCGAGTGCATTGCGGCTTGCGAAGTCCTGCCATGGCCTGACTGTAGAAGGCCATCTGACACATTCACCCACCCCGCGCCGTCTGAGGCGGCCAAGCCACAGGAATCTATTCCTTTGAGGGTTTAAAACCTAAACTCAGTTAGGTACATCTTGGTCAGCAACACAAATTCATTTTTGTGTCTTTGTTTTTGATTTCGAAGGGATCTTGAAGGCTTCCGAGGCCTGGGAGGCCCCTGAGAGAAGCCCCTGAGGAGGAAGTGTGGGCTTTCCGGTTTCGGGTCTGCTACCGCAACCGTGGCTTTGCTGAGGGGCTCGGTAGGTCGACCTGTCGCTGCCCACCGTCGCAGGTGGGCAGCCTCTGCCTTAAACTTAGGGTTTATGGCAGCAAGTTTTGAATTGAAAGCATCAAACCAAGCCAAGCGTCAGGAAATGGAGGCTGCCGATCAGCTCCGGCAACTATTGCATCGTTTGGGCTCGCCCTTCGTGCAGAAGCTACCTGGGCGATTATGAATAAGCGTGCTGCTGCTAAGGAGTTCAGACTCATTTACCGTGATAGGGAAACCCTCCTTAAGGGCACACATGGATAATCTCCTTCAACAATGTAGACTCTGAAAAGGAGTGTCCATGTTGTAGCAACCCACATCGATTCTCTAGTTCTTAACAGCTGCCCCATGTGACCTCTGCAGCAACAGTATGCATTAGGATTGTGGAGCTGGGGTTGCTAGTGGATGGGTGATAGTTGTCCTTTTCAGATGCTCAGAATTATATGCCTCGATCATGATATCTGTATTCACCCACCCCCCACTCCCCCTTGGGGATCTGGGTGGATGAGGGGGAGGCAGGCTAAGCATATGCCAGGGATAAGCTTGCTCAACACCCGATACTTCAAAAGTCCACCTAAGCCTCATGCCCAAGGCTAAACCTGAAACCTGAATCCAGAACAACAAGCTCAAAACTCCCAGCAGCACACCTTTCACTGCTATTTGTGCCCTGTTGTTGCAGCAGCCTGCCCCTCAAGTTAGTGTCCTTGGCGCCTGTTCGCTCAGCCGCAATCATGGGCTGCATGATGGGAAGCTCGGATAGTTGTTTGGCTTGTGGGTACATGGGGTTCCATGACTAGAGACCACGTTCACAGAGTCCCAGGAATAAGGAATATAGTAGATTGGGATCCAGGTTGGGGCCACCTTTTGTTATGGAAACTACCACATGGTGGGCTAACGGTTCCAGTTGCAGTCAAGTAAGGAGAATTTTATTCAGTTGCTTCAGTTGCTTCAGTAGGAGGGCTGGAGATTCCACATCATTTCGAGTTCAACTTTCGAGTATTTGGCATCTTCTATGGTTTGGAGAATCGGTCTCAACATTGGGTTGACATTCACGGCTTTTGCACCCCCTCGCCCAGGGCTGAAGTAAGGCCTGAGTAGCCTTCAACACAGCCTAATCAGGCCTTTCGTGGGAGTAGTTGTGGTATTGTTTCGGTAGACTTCAACTTCAGAATAGTGGCGCGGATCGAGATCCAGCCACATGAAATGCTGATCATGTGTTGGTTTGGCTTATAGCTGACCTCTTGTGGTGTAGGGTTCAGAGGTCAGGTGGTTCGGGTTTAGGGTTTCAAAGTTTAGGGTGTGGGATAGAGCGTGTAGGGTTTTGGGGTTCGTCAAGTTTCAAGCTCGGGCGGCCAGAGCAGCACACACATGGCATGTGCCTAAAAGTACACATCTCAAGCACACTCGTCTCGCAAACATGATCAGTCGCATTCCCATTGGGTACCGTTACATACCCATAATCTAAGGGGGTTCCAAAACGTTGCCGCTCGTTTTGGGAACCCTATGCATATATTCGTCAGATTGTAGTTCTTAGACATGGAATGTCCCAGAAGTCCATTTATGAGGCAACCTCCTGGCTATGGTAAATCCCCTGAACCCCAAACTGTAGACCCTAAACCCTTCTGCTGCAGAAGAAACAAAAAAACAGCCTGCTGCTGCGAGACAGACCAGATAAGGAAAAGAGCCGATGGCCGACCAGCCGATGCCCTATGCTCCCGCCTACAGCTACCAGTACACCAGGTGCAACAGCTGCAGTAACTCCGTGACTTCGACAAGTCTTTGCTTGCGTGGAGGACGGCTACCTATGAGTCACAGCTTCGTATCACTTTAAACTTTGAATGAAGCTTGAGTAATCATAAGCGCTGAGAAGGAAGGCGCACACGGATTCGCTGATCCCTAAATGCTTCCGCCTGTTTCGAGGGGGGTATCATGAATGACTGGACCTTCGCTAAGTTCCGAATAGCTGGCCCTGCATGAGGTTTCTCTCAAGCTTCTTGTGCGTAGCGGTACCGCAGCATGGCGCAGAGTTCTTTTGTTTGTGTGGTGCTCAGGTGTACAGAGTACCAGCGCTTCCAGGACTCCAAGGGGTCCGCAGGGTCTCGTAGTCCTGGGAATCTTCTGAATTAGGAGGTGTTTCTGTTCTCCCTTCGTCTCATGTCACGTCTGAGTTGGGATTTGAGATATGCCTGTCTTGGTGGAAAATCGAGTTGATGTAGGCGGTATATGCAGATCTCAGCCCAAAGCGCTGAAGAGCCCGCATAGGGGTACTCTGTTGGCAGACATACTGTAGACCCATGATTTCACAAACCCCCTCCTTTAGGGGCCTTAATATTAGGATGCCCATTATAATCCCTATGAAGGGGGAGGG